GCTCAGCTTTTTTCCCTGCTTTCTGTAATCTTGGAATTATTTTAACAGTAGAAGTTCCCTGCACTGGTGAGGAGAGATGGGTGCCAGGTACAGGTGTCCTGATCAGAAGGTCAGGGTTATTCCAGCTGAGTTGGCAAAGGGTGTTAAATGGAGGTTATTGCCTTTCTGGGACTTGCTTTTATTCAAAAGACTCCACTTTGAACTTGAAATCAGTGCTTTCTCTCTGAACTGTAATAGGAATTACTTATCATTTAGTTCTGCTTAATGATTTAGATAATATCATTCATTAACTCTAATAACAACGGCCCTGATTCATCGCCAGAGTCCTTAAATATGCAAAGAGAGCCATTTAGGCCAACGGGAATCACACGAATCACATGCTCGAATTTAAAGATGTGTTTTAGCGCTTGGGCAAATGGGATTCCCAATGCAATCGATGAAGTAGAAATGTTCTGAGTCATGCACGTAACATACATACATAATTAATGTTAGGGTTTTTAAAAATAAATTGCAAGACCCGTGGTGGAAAGACACTATAGCGTCCATGTGAACAGAATTTAACCTTCAGCAATGGGAGCTGAGTAAGGGGTGCCAGATTGGCAGGGCAGTTCAAAGTATCCAGAGTTGTAAATTCTGCCCTTTAGGCAGCTGGGAAACATCCTCTGCACCCCTCAGCACTTTGCCAAATCTTTATTTTCCTTCAGTGAATGTATTAATACATGAAATAGCAGACTTTAACCCTTGTGATCCTGATTTTCCATCTGGAAGTACATCTCTTGAGAGGTACCCACAAAAAGGGCCTTAATGGGCCAGCAAAATAACATTTCTGGAGGGCTCCAGTCAAAATACATCCAGTGTGCATGGTAGAGACCAAAGCAGAAGTACAGGAAGCAAAGGAATTATTCCGTGAAACCAGGTTTTTTCCACTCTCCACATTTTCCTTCTCTGACAAGATACTTCATGCCTTCAAAATCCAGTATGCTTTTCCCTTTTTGGGGAAAAACAGAAAGTCATTTATTTATAATTTAACAGGAGAAGAAAGTTTGTGATGAAAAGGTTAAAAGATGGAATCATCAATGATATAGGTGGAAATTTGTCATTTGGTAACCAGAAACGGTAGCAAAAAGATTGTCAAGTCCTTTTGTAGCAGCACTCTGACTGAACATGCGGGGTTTGATCGGTTTTCCTAAGGATAACTGTTCAAGAAGGATTTCCTTCTTGGGTCAAAGGATCCCCTCACAGAAATATTGTCTACGTCGTGCACTCGTTTATACAGCAGCTGCTGGAAAACTAGCCTAATTCTTCATCTGAAGAGTCTGACCACAATAATAGAATGAAGTGAAAACGACCAAAGAAAAAGAATATAAATGGTATCATTTTCAGACCCTGCCACTGGCCTCTGGGAGAAGGCAGCAAGCAAATCAGAAAGCGTTGGCACGCCGAGCTCCCGCAGCCCCAGCAGGCAGCATCTGGGCACAGATTCCTGGTGTGCAGTTGAAGAACTCTTCCCAAGCTCCAGGGAGGGAAATTGCAAAACATCTCCAGCAGATCTTCAGGAAGGTCCTTCTTCTCCTTTCATTCTGCTGTCATTTCCCAAGCTTCTCCACGCTCAGATTTGTCTCACTTTTTGGCTATCAGCCAAGGAGTTTGACCCTTGAAGTGGCAGACAAATGGTTTCACATGAAAACAGCCAGGCAGAAGTAACAGTCATCAACAGCGACAGCAACCCAGTTACAGGTTTTAGTAGGGACAGACCCTGAAACTGGACTGTAAGAGTCGGGGTGGTGCAAGCCCAGCTTCTACCATTTGGGTTTTCCTTGAAATGCAAAGCACTTATGTCTGGAAAGAGCAGCTCATCAGTGAGGTTTCACTGTTGTGATTCACAACCTCTGGTTTACTCCCAGTGACTGATGAGACTGCATCAATACGAGAGGCCACAGGCTGTGGGAACAGCAATTCTGAACAATTCTCTATTTTAGTTTAAATAAACAACCCCAAACCAAACCAGGCTGCAGTCTGCAGCAACCACAGGGAACGTTTGTCACCATTTTCCTACCTTTATGACAGGTGGGCAGTTAGTTTACACATACTTGTCCCCCAGTGCTGCATCAGTTGTCTTTCATCTTCTGTATTTCAGTGCAACTGCTGCAAATGACCTCAGGTCCTTTCCCTCTCTCTGTGCATGTGCCATGTGAGGCGCTGTCTTCTTGGTTGTCGGCTGCACGAGACACTCATGACTCAATGCAAACCTTACCGAGAGTCACAGTGGGATTGCCAAAATACCCACACGCACTAAGCACCCATCTGTCAGTGTTTAGCGTGACAGGCCGAGCTCACAAAAGCATTCAGGTGTGCCACTCCTACTTAGGAGCCTGCTTCCTAGAGAAATCTGTGGGAATTGGCTACCTCACTGCTCTTAAGAGGTAGGCCTAGGAGCTGAGTTTCCTCCACAGCTGAGGTCTACCAATCCCTTTTGCCAAGGTGCAAAAAGAGCCATTGGTTTGCAAATGAAAGTAAAAATTAAATTTTGAAGTCAGTAAACTGTCCTGCAAAATATCATTCTCAGAAAGGTTTAAAAATGCTTTTTGCTGAATTAAGCTCAGCTTTCTACGGAAACCCAAAAGGAAGCATTAAAAAAGTCTCCGGAGGTCATAAACTCTGCTGCCCACAATAAACACCTTTAGAGCCCAGCAGCTCATCTAAAGCCAAACCAATGATACGAACAGAACAATTTCAGATAAAGAAGAAAAAGGTAACAAGAGAGCATATGTTGACACTGTGTGTGTAAACATCAGGCTGTGCCTCCTCCCCTGCCTCTTTTGCTGACACAAGTCAGGTACTTTCAAGAGTTCTGGCAATTGCATTTCAAGGTCCCCTGTGCCTCAGGCAAAAGCTGTGTCTCTCAAATACATCAGGCAAAAAGCAGCCCCAGAAATAAACCAGATACAGTATTATCTCAGGACGCTTTTACTTCTCAGTAGCTGTGTCAAGACAAGGTAACAGATGTATGCTTTGCTTGCTTTTAGATAAGACAAACCCAAACAAAGACAATCCCATGCAGCACAATCACAAATAACAGCTACAAAATAAAAACACACTATAGACAGCAAAGGGAGCAGGAGGCATTGGCATGTTCTTCTAGGGAGCTCTTAAGTTTTGGAGGATTAAATACAGCCTGCATTTTTAGACAGGGCTGAAGCATTCGAACTACCTACCTTGTGGGCTGAGAGCTACAAGACCAGCATAGAAATTCACTGCTGCTACTATAACCTTCCAAAACCATCAGTATACCTGGCTGGGACTTTAGTAACTGTTTTGTGTTTAACAGGTATGCAATTAAACACTAGAGTTGTGTGGCATTTGTTTAAATGAATGCTATTCCAATTAACTAAGCTTCACAGCTGCAAAGCCTTAGAACACAGAGCTGGGACTTAGATCAATGAGATATATTACTGAGAAACAAACAAGAATCCCTTGTTGCTCTGCAGTTCATTTTCTTTCTGTGCCATTTCAGCTCCAGTACCCTGAGTATTTCATGAAAACATGGAAAAGTTTCATCCAAAGGACAATGTTGGCATGAAAAGAAATGGTTGTAAATACCGTGAATTAGTTTAAGTTGAAAGTTGGAAAGAGTTCCCCAACTGCCTGAGCAATCTGAGTCAGGAACAGCCTGTGGGACAGGGAGGTGAGGGACACGGGGTGGTAAAGACCTGACTGGTTTTTAGATGGAGTTCAGTAAATTTCTACGAGGGTGAGGTGATGGATGGAGCGCCAGTCAGAGGCTGCGCTGGGTCCCTCGGGCAGTCCCGGGCTGCCCTTTTCCTCTGTGTACAAGAGAAGCACATCTCTGACTCTGCCCTGGTACCAAAAGGCTGCATGGAATCAGCTGGAAAAAATAACTCATTAATAGGTTGTGAACAGATGAATGGTTGAGTACAGGGGTTGGACAGCTGAGTACGGGAGGAAGTGGTGGTGGTGGTGGTGACCACTTCATCTGGCACAGCTGTAGCCAGGAGAAGCTGTTGTGAACACAACCCGCGATCCATACGTACAGCCCTGCAGGCACTCCAGTGGTAAAAAATGACCCAGTGACACTGTGGGAGAGGGTGCTGAAGGCCTCTGCAGTGGCAGCGTCCTGCACGGAGCAGGACCGCAGCGGATCAGTCGAACCAATGTGTTCTGAGTGTTTCTCCACTGGGATCTTTAAAACTGGCAGCTTCTCACTGTCTCCCTGGAACCTCAGGGTTGCAAACTGTCTTTGCCCCTTACATGAAGGAGGAAGGAAAACGGGCATGTTTTAAGAAACAGATTTAGGCTTCCACTCCTTTGATCATTTTCTAAGAAAAGTGTACTGTAATGTCCACTTCAGTCCGACAGTATCGTTTTTCTTGGTGGGTAATTTAGACTTGAGACATTAACAAAGGGAGGTCAAGGAGGATAATTAAGATGTACATATGCAAATTATAATGACACACTCTGCAAATTTGCATGCGACCTTTGGTTAACATTTTAAAAAGTCACATGGATTGATTAATAAACATTCATCAGGATATCGTCAAGGTATTCTGCCATATGCTTAATTTTAAAGGTGGCTTTAATTAAGCTACTTGCAGGCCTACAGTTTAGAAAGATGTTGGAATTTCTTGCTGACCAGGGCTCGTTGTCATGAGGGTTATTCCAGCTCATAGGAGGTGCTCTATTTTTTATTATTTTTTTAATTTATTATTATTTCCAGCTCAGGGGAGGTGTTCTGTTTTAGCTAGAGACAGGAGACAAAGAGATTCTCTTTGCACATGTTCACTCCACAGCTCTTGGGGAAGATGTTACCGTGCAGGGAGCAGCCTCTGGAGGAGCTGGTGGGAGGCTGTGCTTGCCATAATGAATCTGATCAAGAGCCAGACCTTGTTTGATAATTACTGCTCATGGAAACCCTCCGTTCCCAGTGTACAGTGGCTACTGGGATGTGTTTTTCAGCAACGTCTCAATTTAGTCACAATAAAATCGTTAATATTTCACTTTAATAAAACATACATAGCGTTTTGAAATAGTCTTGAATGATTCCAGGTTGGAAAATGAAAATGACCTTTAAATCTATACAGGGCAGTTCCTTTGGGCACTTTTAATGCAATAATTTATTAAGTTCCTATATTCATCATGTGCGCACAAATACCATGTAAATATTACAGCTGTACTCCATGACAAAACAAGCATAATGCAGACAGAATTATACAGAACTGACAAAGGGGGAAGAAGGCAGATCTAGTATTTTCTGTATAAAAAATATGCAGCTTTTTGATAATTTGTAAAAATGCGTAACTTTTGGCATTTCAGAGAACACCACTGTATAAAAATAAATATTCTATATACAATAACACACACAGGCCAGTCCAGGGTTAGAATCATCACTGCAAAAGAAAACATAAACAGGTGTTAGTCACAATCACTAACAATTGTTAGTGACAGCTCAGCACTGGGGAAGGACCACCTCAAGGGACGGGAAGACAGTGGGACAGCAAAGGGAAGGTGGCTCCAGGGTTTCCAGGAAGAAAAGAAATGGTGCTGGATCTCAGCAGAGATCCTTTTCACTTTCCTGGGCAGTGAGGATGGGTTTAATCCGGGCTGACTCTCTGTGCTAGTCCAGAATCAAGCTAACAAGCCCATTCCCTTGGAGCAGGGTCTGCCCCAAGCCCCACGGCACAGCCCAGCTGCCAGGACACCTCTCGGCAGGAGCACCGTGGGCTTGTGCAGGGCTACCGAGCCACATCGCACTCGCCCTGCTGAAAGCAAACAGCGAACCTCTGCCCCACTCCCACCAGCCTCCCGTGGCACCCAGGTTCTGTGGGGTACACCAGCTCCCAGCCTCTGGTAACAGAGTTAAGTGGAAATGTAATCTTTGTGCAAGTACTAGAGCACTTCGAGGCCAGGCAGCTCAAAGGCCACAAGTACAACTCTCTCCCTTTTAGCCTATAAAACTAAACTGCAGTATACGAACACGGAAGAGTTTTGCTTGCTGCTTTTCAGGGGTATGGTCCTGGAAATCCCATGCATGCCTCCACAGCGCTTTTGCTCTTAGCCAGACTCATTCAAAAACATTAGCAGGTCCTGTAGCACTGCCAACTCAGCACAGTCACAACGTTTCCAGGATTATTTTACCTTATTCCAGCAGCCTTGAACTGGAAGGCCGTCTTCCCCCTGCAAAATAAGATGGATGAAATATCAGTTTAGGACACAGAAAACAGTGCAGAGATCAAGGAAAGAATGACTGGGTTAACTATTACAGCTGCAACAAACAGTTTGAACCTGGGCTGGAGGAATAGTCTGAAAGATATTCCTCACTTTTCAGAGTGACCCAGGCTGACAGAACCAGTGTAGCTTGAAGCAAGGACCGTGACTGAAGCGGGGGAACTGCCTGCAGGCTCTGCAAGGAATTTATGTATATAAGGCCCATAGTCTTGTTCTCATCCCTCACTGAGGAAGGTCTTTAGCCAGGCTTCCCTGGAGGGAGGTGAAACACAAGAGGTCACACTCAGCCAGAAAAATACTGCAGTAAGTTGGCAATGGAGAGCGTGAGGTGGCTGGTCTGTGTCCTCAGGCCTGACTGTGTAATGCTGGGGTTATAAGCAAACCCCAGAGGCAGCACTAACCTTAGGTCCTGAGGAGGGTCTGGGAAAAATATGTGATTTATTTTCTGCCCTGGTTGTTAAAGGGTTTGCTTTATCATGTGAAAGATTGCCCAGCTGCCCACTCTGGCCTCTGAAGAGATCCTGCTCCAGGGGAATTAGGAAGGCAAGCAGACCCTGTGCTGGTTGAGGATCTCCCAGCTGACTCCCTGGGAGGGGACTTTTGCCTCAATAAAGTCAGTGAGATTTCTGAAAAAATCTGGCATATCTGCAACCCTGAAGTCTTGGGCCACACATCCCAAGGTGGGCATGTAATTTATTTTTGTTTATGTTGAAGAAGGTTGGATGCTTTAAGGGCTGTGCTGCTGAAAGACTGAGACTCTATGGTTGGGAAATGCTTTTGTGAATGCCTGCTATTAATTTCATCTCAGTACAGCCCTACTTGGTGTGAGAAAAACATGAAATTATGTCAATGATAAGGTGTCCTTAAGCAGGAGATACACCTCTGACACAAGAAGTCAGATACTTCTGCTGTGTGTGCATGCCAGGTTGCTATTGCTATTCCCCAGGGAAACTCAAGGGCAGGGAGTGAAATTGTATGATGCATGATGCAGGCACATTTCTTCATTCAAATGGCTCAGTTCTCACTTCTCCAAGTACTGCGTGAGAAACCTGCAGTGCATATCATCCCATTCAAGAAGGGGAAAGAAGAAAAACCGACCGGAAAAACAAACGCACAGTAGTATAATGAGAAATAAACTATTTAAAGGAGATGCACTTTCAAGGGACAGCTTAATTGAATGTTGCCATGATGCTACAACCGTATTGCTTTTTTGGTGCATTTTTTAGACTGTGGTCTCCTTGCGATATTCCCCCACACGCACTATGTGGAAATACTGAGTTACGGGGTAATCACTGGGTAAATTGTGGCGTTCCCATTGGTACACTGGTGGTGGTGATAGGAATGACTGGAGGGCATCATGGGAGGAGATGGGTAGTTAGGTGTATGAAGGAATGGGAGGCCAGGGGGGTTACAGCTTAGGGATCAAAGGAAGACCAGGGTCACAAGGAAGTGTTTGTTGCGGGCGAATTTGCCTAGAACGGAAACGCGACGTGCTTATTAGTACCAAGTATCTCCTTCCACATAGCTCGGATTTGTAAAGCATTAGTTCACAGCCTCCATAAATTACACACGTGGGTGGGTCAGCTGGATGCTAAGCTTTTAACCTAGTTGGATCAAAAAACATGCTTATTCACGTTCCCAAGCTAGCTTGCATGCCAGAACACTATCTATAAAAAAAATAATGGCATCTGTATTTCACCAGATTTTCTGGCAGGTTTCCCTTAACAAAAATAGGTAAGAAAAGAAATGGACATTCTAACGTGGCCATGTGGGGTGAATCCTAACTGAGGAGAGAAACAAAAAAAGAAAGGTAGGCTACCAGAGCACTGGTAGAGTCATTGCACCTGTGAAATTAGGTGACTTATTCAGCCAAAACTTACTCCATTGAAACCTGGTTATTTGGGAGGCAAAACACATGGCTCAGTGTTTTTTCTCCTTTGTGGACTGTTCTAGGCAGGTGTGATTTCACCTGTTGGACTGGCAGAAGAGTTTCTTTCTATAACCCAGAATTCATAGAGCAGCAACTGAGCCTTCACAAGTCGTCACCGTTACAGCCACTGCCCCAAAGCACACAAAGGAGGGAATGCTGGAACTGACACTCATGTTAGCTCTTCACAAAGGTCCAAAACAAAGGCTTTTCAGGGCTAGTTTCCTCAGTAAACTAAGGAAACCTTCCAAACTAAACATGGCTTTTTTTCTGGGACACACTTTTCTTGCTAGTTGATCTAACTGCTATCCCATCCCTTGTAAATGGCATCAAACATCTTTAAGTGAACATAAAGCTTGGAATGACCATCCTCAAGCAAACCTAGCCATGCCAGACAGAGGCTGGAAGGGCAGGGGAGTACAAGTTTCAGTATATCGGGGAGCTGTTGAGACTGCTGTAGGGAGCAAAATCTTCACACAAATGCTTCATCTCCAGAAAATCTGAGAGTAAATTAATAGGTTGATGATGTTTAACATGGGATACTTAAAAATCCGTTGGGGTTAAGTGTTCCTGAATAGCTTTGTCCTAAAATAGTTGGGTTAGGTGAGGCAATAAATACAATTATTATCCTTTAATACTTGAATAAGATGGACATTGGGAAGCAGGCAATTCAAAATTCAAGTTTCTTGGATGCTATGGGTACCGTTTTGGCTTCTAAGGAGAGTTACAAATAGCAACAGTCTAGCAGGAACTGAGGAAGATAAGTGTCCAGTTAACATGTTTCACATGGGCTTGCTAACAGGATAACCAGTTTTTTCAGTCATCTTAATGTGTAGGGTGACTGAGGTAATACTGAGTAGTGTCGGGCTGCACTAGCCACATACAAGCACTTCAAAATAGAGTTAGTGAAGGACATGAGCATTGCAGCTCCTTGCTAGAAAGCCAAGCCAGTGCAGAAGCAGGTCCTCACATGTTAGTCTACTGAAAGCTCTCAAAGTGAAGGCAAGGGAAGAATTGAAGCAGTTGTAAATAAATTCGCATTCCCAGTACGTTTTTCCTCATGCCACAAAGTAATGCTGACAGCAGCTGTGAAATCACAGCAGGAAGGGAAGGGCCTGTTCCTGACAAGAGCAGCATGAGGAAGGTAGGATGGAGGTAGGAAAGGAAGGAATTGCCGGGTGTTTCTAGGGCATGCAGCTATTTGGAGGTATCAGAAAATAACAACCAAGACACAAAAAGCAAACACACATGCAGGAAAGGGAAGGTACGCCATACCAATGGGCATGGGGCATCCAGGCCGTCCAGCCCAGGTAACCCCGGCTCACCCTTCTCGCCTTTAAAACCTCGGAGACCCTGTTTATGAAATCAACCACTATCGTTATTTCAGTCAATGCCAGTCACCTTCATGACACGGGAAGAGAGACCGAGTCCCCGACGGGGGCTGTCGCAGGGCACTCTGCTGCATACCCAGACCACAGATGGCCCGTGGTTCCAGTTCTAGTTTTGTCTGTAATAATCAGTACTTGCAGTTTCCTTTCTGGTTTTCTGTAATCCACAAGTCAGGATATACTTCTCAGAGTTAAATCTGAAAGGCTAGGAATGGTGTTTCCTCCATTCTGACATCATCCATTCTTGCTCACCAGGAAACACAGCAGCTGGATTTCTAGATGCATGATCCACAAGTACTCTTGGGATTTATGGCAGCACTACGTATTTTTGGCAGTGGTTGCTACAGCATATGAGTTTATATGAGAACGTATACACATTCCTATATTTACTCATTTGACTAGACTCATAGGCAATACATTTTGACAGAAAAACATCCCATTTAAAATAACTGAGATTTGTTTTTCCTCTGGGTAATGCAGCTCGAGTGCCCTGTGTCGCTCTCAGATGGTCACATCAGCTGGCTGTTATTCCAAGGAAAGAAAAACAGCAGTCAGGTTTTGCTGTTACATAGACACGAGGCATTTCCAGAGAAGAGCCGTAACTAACAGCAAAGGATACACAGGGCTCTATCCACACAGGAGAAAGCCCTGGGCTCCCAGCACATGGAGCACACCCCCATGTGCCCCAAACCTTTGTGAGCTCCGGAAGAAGAAGGAATATAACCACGGTCACTCAACAGCCTGATTGCTCAAAGGATCAGTGGTTGCCTGCTGAAGAAAGCAGCTTTGCCATAGACTGCAGTGGGAACCAGGCTGCACCTTATCCAAGTGGTGTACTTTTGCAAGACCATTATTTGTGTTATGATTTCCTTCTTTCTTCCCCATCAACAAATCTTAAAACAATACATTTGATGAAACAAAACATACCAACGGACAGGGTGCATCTAATCCAGGTGCTCCTTGGTCTCCTTTATCCCCTTTAGACCCTCTAGAGCCTTTCTTGCCCCTCTCCCCCTGTAAATAATAGTTTAGTCCAAGGAAAAAAAAAAAAGAATACACAAAAGGTTTAGGATCATCCATTTCAAACAAATGTCAGTGATAGTTTAAAAAAAGGATAAACATTTAGGAAACATTTTTAAAGAAGAGAAATCTCCCTTTGAGACATCGAGTACAAAACAACGTATGGAGCTACTAGCGGTTACCTGGCTGCATATACACATTGGCCATTGCTAAAACCCCACACTGATCGACTGCAAGGGCTCTGCATCAGAGGGATCACAAGTGGTCGAGAGAGGTTCTCCTCCCCCTCTACTCTGCCCTGCTGAGACCTCATCTGGAATATTGTGTCCAGTTCTGGGCCCCTCAGTTCAAGAAGGACAGGAACTGCTGGAGAGAGTCCAGCGTAGGGCTACAAAGATGATTAAGGGAGTGGAGCATCTCCCTTATGAGGAGTGGCTGAGGGAGCTGGGGCTCTTTAGTTTGCAGAAGAGGAGACTGAGGGGAGACCTCATTCATGTTTATAAATATTTAAAGGGTGAGTGTCACGAGGATGGAGCCAGGCTCTTCTCGGTGACAAACAATGATAGGACAAGGGGTAACGGACACAAACTGGAACACAGGAGGTTCCACTGAAATTTGAGAAGAAACTTCTTCTCAGTGAGGGTGACAGAGCCCTGGCCCAGGGTGCCCAGAGAGGTTGTGGAGTCTCCTTCTCTGCAGACATTCAAAACCCGCCTGGACGCCTTCCTGTGTAACCTCATCTGGGTGTTCCTGCTCCGGCAGGGGGATTGGACTGGATGAGCTTTGGAGGTCCCTTCCAATCCCTAACGTTCTGTGATTCTGTGTTTCTGTGAAGTGCTGCTGAACTTTACGGATGGGCCTATAGTCAGCCAGCAGAGACTCCTCCTCCACTGGTACCATCATAAGGACACCACATCTCTGGGCTTCCTACATCCAGGATAGAATACATCAGAGAGATGGGCACCTACTGAGACCAGGCTGACCCTAGACACACGGGATGGGAGAGCAGAACCTAGGAGGGTCCCTCTTCTGCCGCAGGAGCTCCGGGACACCATCTAGATGCCTATTGCCCTAAGAGACAAGCCCTGCGGCAGAGCCCGAGCAGGCTTTCCTGCTATAGCAGGAAGGCATTGCTGGTCCAGATTCCCTGTGTTGATTGCACTTTTCTTACTACTCTGAATTCTCATCTTAAAGAAATTAACACTTATGGGAGTGTTTTTAGAAGCTGTCCCTTAAGCTGCTTAATGAACACTGTGCTTGCCACCAGGGGTTGGTGGATTTTCCTGAAAAGCTGGGGGGATTTTGTGTAGGTTGTTTGGGTTTGTTGTTAGTTTTGGGGTTTGTTTGGTTTTTGGGGGGAGGTTTGTTTGTTTGTGGGTTTTTGTTTTTGTTTTTGTTTGAGGTTTTGTTGTTGGTTTTTTTTAATGTAAAATTACTTCCATATCCCAGAGCAGCAAAGCTTTAACATGAATGAGCGTGTTTGCTTGCCCGAGCCTTACAGTGATTTGTGCACTGGGATGCGTCCACATTGCTAAATAGAGAGGAGTCAGAGAATTAAGGAAATACTTGGCCCTGACAGTCTGCACAGCCTGGTTGTCTTCTGGGATGCTCTGAGCAGTGCTCCCCCAGAAAATCCTGTTAGGCAAGGGACAAGTCCTAAGCAGCACAGCCACAGGCAGACACTGGTCCCCGGCCCTCACTACAGACATGCCCCAGGAAGGGATGATTCTTACGATGGTTTGATGTTACAATTTCTCTGCAGGCTCCAGGTTGAGTTACAGCAGAGCCAAGGCAGGAGGGAACCAAATTAAAACATCATAGCCAAAGAGGAGACTTGCTCTTGTGTGGAGGGGCAGCACTAGGACAATGAAAGGTCCTCACCAAGGGAGGGTACATCCCACCCATAGCAGGTCAGCCAAGGCAAGGCATAGCATGGGTATTTCACAGTTGTATCTATACCAAATCCTTCTGTATAACAGAGGAAATTCTCAAAGCTGCTAAGCATAACACAGGGAAAGGGACTGCTGCACAGGGAACTGAATTTAGGGTCCATGTAGGGAGGGTTAAAGGAATTAAAGGATAAAATCAGACAGCACAGGTTGTTGTTTCTTCTTTAAAAAAAGTGTTAAACCCAAAGCTGGCAAGAGAAATGGATGGGAGAGGAGAGGCAATGAGGAAAAGTCACCCAGAACCAAGCACTGGAACAAAGAGGATAATCCGGGAAAATGTGGCATGGGTTGCTCTGGAGGAAGGAACCAGGAAGCAAGACGGAAGAGGAGGAAGGGATAAAGGGGATAAAGGTGGACCTGTAGGAGCGAGGAAGACGCACATACACACAAGAAAAAAAAAACACAGGCATTAAAATAACAGTGAAGATATCAGCTTGGTAGCACAAGTTCAGGGTTTACACTTTTTCAGCTGGGTTACTTGAAAGGCAGCCTGTTCCTGTTGCTCCCTAGTGCCACAACACTGCCTCTGTTATCTCCAGGCACAGCTGTGCTGTACTCTCACACCAAAGGGGAGCAGGAGAGTTTCTGGGATCTAAAAAGCACTACTTTGCCTAAAGTAGAGGATTTTGGCAAACTTTTTGGAAGATTAACAAAGTGGATCCTCATTTTTAATGTGCTCAACACTGAAAATGCTCATAGTGAAGTGCTATGCATACCACTGCCGTCTAAAAGAAATAAAAAGAGAGGCAATTCAAATTAACACATCTCCCACTTCCAGAGAGGTGGGTGTTGTATCCCAGGCCCCTGTGGAACAGGTCACAAGTGGAGTGTTGCCTTCTCTTTTCCACTTCACAGCTTTCTTCTTGTTCATTTTGAAGTCTCCTGGCTGAACTGCTGCCATAGTTTTGCCAGCAGTTAACGTGGGAGAGACTGTCCTGCCCTTCTGAGGAGGTTCTGATGTGTGTCCCACTGTAGGGGAGACCTAGCACTTGTCTAGGGATACTGGGCTGCAGAGCAAATCCTGGGGAAGCAGCAGTGTGTCTAGTTCTGCTGAACGGTCCTTGTCAGATGTCTGTAATGCCTTCAAAGGGATGGAGGCCTTCAGACAAAGCAGCTGTATAAGGGGGCCTCACCAAACCTGCGCTGTGTAACTCCTGTAAGTAGTGGTGGCCTGTTCAGAGTTTTTGAAGAGGAGCAGGAGAGCGAGGGTTAGCACCTGTCTCAGGAAAGTAGTATTTTGATTCTGTGATTTTCTAGGACCCTACCTGCAAAGATAACTGCGCTTGCCTACTCACAGCCTCAAGTCGCTCACTTTTTCATTTCAAAATGTTGGTTTCAGTGAGGCAAAATGCACGCCTGCTTCAAGGGGCCAGCAAAACTTTCCACTCAAGCTTTCCAATTCGTCCTCTACAAGGAGGCACAGTGTCTGCCAGTTTTCATTTGACTGTATGAGAGAACTCAGGGAAATCCTATCAGCCTACCTACAGCCAATGAGAGCACCTTATTTTAAATAAAATACCTGGTTTACAAACCAACTGAAAAAGTCAAGGAATTCTGTTAAGGTTATTTTTTGTTTAGAAGCCACACAAGCAAAACAAAACACATCTTAATGAAGAGGAAGTTAAGAAGCAAAGCCAGAAATGCAGTGATTAAAAAAGGGGAGAACTTTGGGGCTCCCATGAAACTTGGACCTTCCTCCCCTAGTTTAAGATGCCAGTTGGCTACTGCTTTTCAGAACTGCCCATTCTGTGCAGAGTAAGGTCAGAAATACATTGTAGGTAAAGGACAGAGAACACTCACTATGTATGGAAAGCAATTTCATATAATGAAATCACTGCATGGGCACATGCACTGTAAAACTTTACATTCTCAGATAAACTTAGGTGATACCAGAGTCTTAGGAAGAGAAGGTGTATGTGAGTACATGCATATAGACATACACGTGTACTGTACTGAACTGAGAGACATACTTAGACAACTGTAGTCTCACAAAGACTCTAATCCTGAAGTAATTTATATTACTAAATATAAATTACATTCAATTATAGCTCTCAACTGTTTTTTATCAGAGTCAGAGCCTTAACAGGCAAGAAATTCCTTATGTTGTGGAAGACCCAATGAAAAAGCAAGGAGCTTCTCAACATGCACGTTTTAGTCATGTTTCTCTTTCTATAACACAGGCGCTGTGACAGAAAAGCAGCCATTCATGTTATTGGTTTTAACCCAACTCTGCCATCACATTCATTCAGGACAATGCCTGAGGAGACTTCATGTCTGATTCTTTAAGGTAGGTGAATTTAATTTATCTTTCCCAAATTTTCATCTTGAAATTCTCTGGAGGGTTGTTTAGTAGAGGTCAATATTCTTTTTCACGCTTCAGGGGGAATTTAAAAGTAACATAGTAAGATTTGCTGGCTCCACCTCAGTTCATTGTCACGGGAATTCCTGCACACATCAGTAAACAGACAAGCAGGATTTCCTAACAGGTGCCACACTGGCCTAACTCCACTACATGTGAAGTCCTGTGCTTCAGTGAGAACAGAGCTATGATAACAATGAACACGTTAGAAAATCTCTCCTATAGCTTTCAGACAGAGGTACCACAATGTCCCATGCGATTATATAAACTACAGGTATCACCTTCTAAAATACAAGCCTGTAAAGTTACTTATGTGAAGATCTAGCAGTCAGAACTACATGCTAGCTACTTGGGGTTGATCAGAAGTTAACCGGTCTATTGCTCTGAAGACATTAGTAACTAAATGCAAGAAGTTTGCCTGTTAACTTACCCGGATTCCTTTGTCACCAGGTAGACCTTGTAATCCCTGAAATACATCCACACAAACAGAAATCTTTTAAAACAAGTAGACCCCGTTGTATTCCTACTCAGAAAAGAAGAATGTGTACCCAAGAGTTTGGTTTTATCATTTGTACCAATTACTCTCTGGTAAAAACCCAAACAAACAAAAAACCAAACCACAAACCCAGCCAAAACCAACCACCACCACAACAACAACAACAACAACAACAACAACAACAACAAAAAACCCAAACCAAAAAGCCACAACTTTTCCAGCAGACAACCTCCTCTTCACCTCCATTAGACCATCCAGGCTGTAACACCACTACTACTACTCCAAGAGTTCTTCAGATAAAAAGCAGACTAGTTTAGAGAATGCGGTTCCCTGAAAAAAGCAGCAAACCTCCTTTTTTGTGTAAAATAATGAAGCAGCTCCACGATTACATAGAACTAGAGTTCCAACACTGGCCCCATTTTGCAAAAAGTAATCCCAAACAATAGATGTGACCTCACTGAAGGCAGCTTTTGTCACTGCAATGACAAGACAGGGCCCTTTCTGACAGGTAGAAGGCATCCAAGCTACGTAGAGATAAATGGTGTAGTCGTGCTCAAAAGCAGCGTTTTTTATTAAGATACATATCCTGGGAGTCCCACAAAGCTTCTTTCAGTAGTCTGAGGGCCAATGTAAGTTAGCAGTTTCCCTTCACCTTCATCCATATCATTCTGAATCATTGCTCTGAAGCTACCAAGCTCTTCTGATGCTCCCATAGTGTACATAAGCTTGTAACTTTGGTTCTTTAACACCTAACCTGGCTGAAATTGCAAATGCTGATTACAGCAGCATCTTAAGCTATCAATCACAGCAAGGAAGCAGGTACTGGAGATAACAAATCTCTAGTACTCTGAATACTTACAGGAAGTCCTGCTGGTCCCATTGGTCCTACAACTCCAGGATCTCCTTTACTACCCTGAAGTGGAGACAAAAGCATAGGAATTATTACATTCCTTTTCAGTATAAACAGGCAGTACAGCAGTGGCTACAGCAGTGCTATAGAAGAAAAGTAAAGGATGCATTTCAAAGCACCTAAAAATCCCAAGGATGACACATTAAAAAAATCAAAGAGGCCCAGCTGAGGTCTTACATGGACAAGGGGAGAGCAGTTCCAGCTCTAGAAAAATCCCAGGGAGCTGTGGTATCTTCAAAGAAGTTACAGAGCATTAGTCAGCAAACTTACCCTTTCTCCTTTTGGTCCTGCTGGTCCAGAAACCCCAATTGGTCCTGGAGTACCCTGTAGTTGGAGGAAGGAAAACACATCAGGACATTTTTATTCTGGGGCCTCATTAAAACCAGGAGACACTGCTGTTCCTTTAGGAAAAAGCACAGCTAGGAAGAGACAGTCTGGTGGTGGAAGGCACCTAGCACCACTACAGCTTTCATTGTTAGTGGTGATGGATTTGAAGTAGTTGCTACAGACAATTTGAAGAACACGGGAACTACTTTAGATCACACCCACATCGTTTTACAGAGCCTTATTCTTAATTCTGAAGCTAGCTCTTGACAATTGTTGCAGCAGGTATTTCTACCAGGTCCACAGGAGGGAATTTTTTATTCTCTAGTCTATATGAAAAGGCTGAAAGCTGTAGCAGAATCAAGGCCACTTAGATACAGAAGCCATTTTCTTTTCCTTTACTTCCTTATTTTCTCTTTTTTACCCTGGAGTCAGTTGAGTTGAGCAAAAATGAAAGAGTTTGGTTACTTGGTGGCAGGCAGCCGGTCAGTCATGCAAGTTGAAAGACACCATGCTGCAGATGAATGCAGATGCATACGTACACAGATGCAAACTAAGAGGGGTGTCATTCAGTCCCAGTCCCTCTGTTCCCTTTTTACCATTTATATCTCTCCACCAGGCTCTCAATTATGCTAACAGGAAAGTCCAGTCTTTTTGCTAACCCCTTTGACACAGGGACCATCTCACACTGTCGTACCAAATCTACTTCCCGCTGTTGCTGAGACTTGCTAGGGCTTTGGGAAATTAACCCAATCATAGCTTATTTTTCACATAGACAGTACAGAAGTTAGGCAATAGTCCTGACTAAGAAAGATTCAGGCACTCTTAACTCTCTATAGACTCCTTGAACTTGCAGAGTATTCCCTATTGGAGGGTCTCTTCCAACTCCCCCAGACCACATTCTGCAGTTGATATAAAGTACAACCTGCAAATCTGTAGTGTGTTGTGCACACCCCTAACCACGTAGTTTGGGTAGGCATTTACCTTCCTAACCCTGCATCACATACTTTTAGATAGTATTGATCTACAGTTCCATCACGGAGCAATAAAGGGATACTTTTGAGGTCCATTGCCTGACTTCTGGGGACAACAGGAGAACAGGTTTCTGGAATGGGGAAGTCTTTATAACAGCCTTTAAGGAAAAGGGTCTCGTGCTTTTTAATGCAAGCCTGCAATCCTTAGTCCACTAAAGTATCCCCTCTGATGTGAGAAGGATGACTCATATGGATGAAGAGAGCTTTTCAGACAAGATTAATAACTGCAGAGGGAAAGTGGAGAAGTAACTCGTGCAGCGAGCAACTTCTGACACAGGGAAGGAAGTGAGAAAAGTCAGCCTCTCCTTAGATCCGTGCACAGGAGTTCACATCGTGGAAATCTGAACTGCCTGCACATATGCATCATTTTAAGATTATTTCACTAAATGCCATGAAACACATGAAGATCACCTGTAGATTTATATGGATACACCTGTACATTTATAAAGTTAAATCTACAATTTCCCAAAACAAGCAAGTGTAAATGCTGCCATTCAGACTGTGTTCAGAAGTTACAGAGCAGCTGAGTTATCTCCAGTTATTCTTTTGAAATAGCCAAATGGACTGTGCATGGGTGATGCATCATTTCCCAAGAGAGATTAAAAATATTTGGCCCTTATTTAACAGCTGTTTCTCAAGATTAGCAGACTGTTTTGCAGAACCAGGTCTCATTCTGAATTTGACAGACTGGACAGCTTAGGCACAGGGAGTTTATTTCCTTTACTGCTCACGGTAAGTTAGCAACAGGAGGTAGGAATCTTGCATCTTCTTGCACCACTATTAGATGTTGCTACCTCTCAGATGTATATATTGGACTGGAACACACACCTCAGGTATCTGGGACTGAAGGAAAGCATGTTTGGAGTAGCTGAAGTTGCATGGCATTCTGCTGCTGAGAGGTGAAGGGTTAGTCCTTGCAGAAGGTCTTTCAGATGCAACTTGTCCTCCTGGTGAGATGCTTACCAGGCTATGGAGAGATACCTTTGAGCATACTTGCAACCCACAGCTATGCAGCCTTAAGTGCTGTGCGTGAAAACAATGTACAAAGCTTTTGTTCACAGGACAAAACACATGAGCATTATTATGCCGAAGACAAAATTTAAGAGCTACTGTTGTGAAAAGGTGGCAAGCAAGGCTACAGTTGGGAATGACAAGATGGAGACCCCTCACAATAAAGAGGACAGGAGAACAGAGCATCATGGAACCATGCAGAAGTTTCATTCATCATGTTACTGAGATAAAGTGGAACAGATAAGCTGTGATCCCATGATCCTGACAGGCTCGTAGCATCAAAAATGACAAGCGTGTGGCATCACTTCTCAGACTAAGTTTAACCCCCCTCCCAGATCTGCTTCGGAGAAAAGGTGGTTATTCCTGGTGTAAACAAGACTCTGATGAAAGAGACAAGACAAATCACGATACTGGGTAGGAGGAACATAGGGTAATGGAGAAATGGAACTCACCGGTGGTCCAGGCCTGCCGTCTAAACCTGAAGCACCCTGAACAGATGGGGGAGGGTTAACAAAAACAAGGCAAGAGGAGAAGGGAGGAGGGTGAGGGGGAAAGGAGAGGGGAGGGGAGAGGTGAGTGAAGCAGTGACTTAAGACAAACATATGCTTGCAATAAACAAAAATTAAGGTCTCAAGGACAGGTGATGGTACTTACAAGCAAACCAACAAAAACATAGAAACACTGAATACATATAATGTTGACTTGTGACTTTCACATCCCCTTAAGAATGCAAATTTCCCTCTCTTGGTGCCACTATGAAAACTTCTGAGGAAGAAGCTGCTCTGTGACAGGTGATTAAAAGTTCAGTGTGACAGTGGAGTTCAAGCCTGGCAGTCTGGGCAACACAGATGAGACAAGTCTCAGGGGCAAAAAGCCCTGTGGTCACAGAGGCATTTGCAAGCTGTGCAGAGCCATCAGCAGTTCAAGTTCCCACCAAGAAACCTAGGTCCTGTAGGTGCACATTTAGCTGCAGGCTTGCTCCACTCTACATCTCCTGGCCAGAGGAAGAGATGAGTCAGTTGTTTGGTGGCTCATCTTCCTGTGTCACCAGCGCAGACTTACACCAGATTAAGGGCCACTTTTCTGTCTGCTTGGCTCTTGTCCTGAATTTTCTCATCCATAAAACCTAACACTGGTTCTGCCTAAGGCCCATCTAGCCCAGCGTCTTGTCTCTGACACAGGCCAGGAGAGAAATCTTAGGTAGAACAATAGTACAAACTACTGAGTCTTCCTCCACTTGAGTATGACAAATTCCTCTGCTTGTTGGCCATACAGAGAAGCCCAAGGCTTGTGCAGACAATCAGCGCTGAAATGTGCTGAAAATCCTAGCACCATGTCAAGCCCCAGGTCACACATGAAAAGGCTGTGGGATTTTACAGACTCTGTCTTTGAAATATTTCAGTGCCTGTCTAGCACTCACTAATACAACTGCATTTAGCTTGACAAGCTGAAACCACACTGGATCAGGCATGGAAAAGCTTATGGAGAGAGAGGTAGCTCTGAGGAGGGATACAAGGTCCACATTGTGTCTCTGATCTTATCAACAGCTCAGTAACTGTGCTTCCTAGTTGGCCAGCTGATACTGTTGATCCAAACACAAAACACTTCTAAGAGGATGCTTCTGAGTCAGCCTCCACAGCCCAGGAAGAGGGATGTGAAAAGCCAAGGGACCCTGGTTTCTCATGGGGTTTCTCCTCACTGCTGTAGGAGGACCAGCTAGCACATTCCCCGCCACATTGATGAGCTTGTCAGGGTAATTGCAGGGGCATCTTCTGCTCAGACTCTCACAGGGACCTCTTTCACCTGTCCTGATGCCACATAGACTTGAGGGAATAACTATTTACACAGAAAGCTTCCATTTGCATTTCTCAAGGCAAAATGGGGACTGGGTTTTTACTTCTCACTGCTGCCCTGAGGCACAATCCTTTGTGTCTGAGCCTCTCCAAAGCATGGCTTTCTCCCCATGGGCTCTGCATGGGGCCACAGTGAATACACCCATGAGGAGCTCGCTTGAGTGCCTAGAGTTAGACAAGCTGCATCCAGGCCCTGGAAGGTTACTGCTGTACAGCACAACTAGAAGAAGAAAACATGTTACAAACAAAGACACGGACATTTCAGCCGAAGTCAGGGACAAGGGATCTGGGTGACTGAACACAGGCTGACAAAGCCACACAGTACACGAGATGCACTTTGTGGTGCTCTTTTCCAGGCAGTACGATCAGCAAGTGCTTTCTGTGAGGAGGGAATCTGGGGGCTGGCAGAGGAGCTGGGTGGGACTGAGTTACCACTAATTCATTGTCAGCTGATTCTCACACAGCGGGCAAAGAGACTTTTAACAGATGCAAGCCAAGAGTTTCACGTACTTTGTAAGTCTTCAGGTTCCAAAGCTTCTAAAGCTCTTGTAGCTTCTTTATAGTTCTGCCCAAATTCCTCCTTGCTAAGCTAAGCAGTGCACTAACACCAGTTTAGTGTGACTGCGTTCACATACAGCAGGGCACATCGCAGGCTTCTACCCATTAGGGAAAGCACTGATTCCATTGCAGAAGTGACAGGAAAGTATTGTCCAGGGAGGAAGCTGGATGCATTCACAACCACCAAGCTTTTGTACAAAGCCTGCCCCAGGTGACACACTGCCAGGAAGGTGTTTCCTTTTCCACATCCTTTTCACTTCTGTTTCTGGTCTTGCCCCATTACCCTGAAGTGCAAAGGACCCACAGGAAAGTTACTCCTTGTTTTTTCTAATCCTGCCAGAAGCAGGAAGAATTAAAAGTGGTCACTGATCTATTTAACAGCTTTAAAAGATTTAGGCTCTGGACAGAAATTGAAGCTTTGAGTTTAAAAAGCAAAGGCACAGTTATTTATAGATCATCTGTTTCTTTGACTTTACATATCAAATCCCTGTGTGCGTCTCCTATTGAGGGATCTTTTTACAGCTGATATAAGTTTGGCTTATGAAGTGCTGCTTGCTTCCTGGATACTTACGGGTAATCCCAGTGGCCCTCGGTCTCCTTTTTCACCCTGGGCACCCTTCTCTCCTTTCACTCCATCAATCCCCGCTTCCCCCTAAAGGAAGGATGAAGCAGAAAATAAACCCGCCGTAACACCACTTACATAACAAATATTCCTCCCTTCAGAGAGCGCCGAGAGAGAGGACACAAGAGGCAGCAGAGCAATGCTTTAGCCCGATTCTCATCCCAAACTGAAGGAAACCAGTATCAGTCAAAAGACCTAAGGCATCTTAAAACACGATCTTAGTTGCGTTTTGAAACAGAAGTGTCAGAAGAACCAAGTTTGCACAGAAACAGTGATCCTGCTTGCATTACTCTTCTATAACTGTGGGACAGCACGTTGCTGGCTCACCCCACCAGCACTCCAGTTTCCATACAGCCGTGTGTCACGGCCCTACAACACCATTTGGCCCTAGTACCTACCTGGAAGAGTTATTTATTTCTGACATGTCTGCAAAAGGTGTAAAATGCTCTTCCTCACCGCTACTGAAAGTCTCATTACAAAAAGACTTATTACAAGTTGCAGGGATGGAACAAAAAACTGCCACACTTGGGACATCTCGCTCCGCCTGCTAATTAAACCTACATGGATCTTCTGTTCAAGGAGAAACTGGTGCCATACTTCCTCTGGATTGGAAGACTTTCACCTGCATTTGTCTGGCATATATCTCAAAGATACCTGCACCTTACAGAAGTTTCCCAGACACCTGATAGCAGTGGCTAGTGAGTTACAGACAAGCAAGACAGATAACTGTATCTGTAATCAGCACTTGGAGAAAAGATGAATCAGGATAGATATACCATTGCCTTTAGCACCCAAATGGCACTGGTAACCAAATAACCAGAAGGATTTAAACATTTTCCATATTCTCCAATCTTTGCCAAGAATGTCAGAGGAAAAACACAGCTCTCCTTGAGTATTTCCACTCAAATAATTTTTCATCTAGGTACTGTTTTACAGCAGGCAAACCAATGGTGCAGGCTGAGCATAAACACATTTGGATGGAGAACAGAAAGCTTCTAATCACCAAGAACAATGAAGTTTCTGAGTGAATTTACAGGGTATAGAACCTGGCTAATTTTAAGCTAGAGCTCAGTTATTTAGGATTGTATGACACACTGTCCATCCTGCTGTAGAGACCTTCACCCTGCAGACAAAAGATTTCAACTATGTTCCCATGGGAAGATTTCCAAGGGCCGGTGGCTTCCCGTTTCTCTGGGTGAAAACTGGAGAAAATTACTGGTTTTGTGGGTGCTACAATGAGAGCTGCTAATCCATTTCCTCCAAGAAAATATTCAGAAGTATTTGTCCTCTTAGCAAGACGATAAATAACATTTGCAAGCTAAAAGGTTGTTACCGAAAAGTTCTTGCACCTGGGACAGTCTAGGAGAATGTAAAGATCTGCAGCCTTACCTTCGGTCCTGGGAGGCCCTGCAGACCCTGTATTTGGGACAAGAGACAAAATATGAGTAATCTTTAAGGATATGCTTTAAAATCCAGGCATCCCAGTTCAGTGTGCTGCATAGAGCTTTCACTTTTTGACACACTGAGGGCATAAATGCTTAGCCCAGAGGCCTCTTTATTTGTGTAAAGGGCACTTCACGTACTGTTCTCATCTGGTAATGAGGAGGCTCTCAAAGAACAACCTGGCAGCGGGCCAGGCTTCCTATTAAGACCATTTTTGCAGCTTATCCCTTTAATCCCATCCATCCTCTCTTACTACTGTCTTCCCTTTCATCTCAGACTAACATAACCTTCTCCCTTTACCTACCCAGCCCATCGTAGCTCTGACCTACCCTGAGGGGCAGTTTTGGAAGTGATACTAAATATGTTCCTGTTTCAACACTGCAGTGTTCCTGGCTGTTTTCTCTGCCTAGAATCCTCCCCAGCCACATCCTGCTCTATCCTCATTCCCAGTGCTTTCGTCCTCAGGTAAATCATTCAAAACTTACTGGAGGTCCTGGTGGGCCTTGGGGTCCAGGGGGGCCAGACATCTAGAAAACAATGCAAGAGAAGTCACTGTCATAACCTGCTGCACTCAGAGGTGAAGGAGAACTGCTCAGAGGGAAGGCAGGGCATAGGGTGCAGCTGAGCTCTACTGGGCTTGAAAATCTGGACTCCTCCTAAGGACTGCGTTAGGAAACAGCAGCAATCCAGGACAGTGTGGCTGAGAAGCAGTAGGATTCTGGGGAGAATTATGCAGCAGCTGCAGAGATTTAGGAGGAAGGAGAGCAGTGATTTTTGTATTTTTTTTTTTCCCCAGAAAAAGGTTCATTTCCACTACTCCACCACTGTTCCTGCAAGGAGGCACATGGCCAACAGCTAGCAGCTGTTTCAAAGGATAGGCAAGCAGGTGGCTGGCTTCCCATGCAGAAGAATATTGATAGCCTGTGGAACCCCTTGCTGCAGGGTGCTACAAAAGCTAGAGGTGAGCTTTGAGGGGAGAATGGACAAATTAATGAATCCAAAATATATTGAAAAATAAACACATGTAGATACATGCAGCTATTGTTCAGGAAACCCCTTCACTGCAAACGCCAAATAAAATATTTGTTAGACTTTCCATGATCTCCTAATTCTTCCCTAGGCATTCATTATCGATTGCTTGTGGTGAACTAGATTGTTCTTGTATAAAGAAAAAGTAGGGCATTAGGAGCTAGAGGTGGCTAGCAATTCAGTCCTACAAGATGAGGCTTGCTCAACAAAAGGTGTGTCATAAGAATGTGGGACATGCTGGTTTTTAGCAGCACTGCTGCCAAATCATCCCTCCCTTACTGCCAAGACTGCAGAAGGAAATTGAGAAAGGTGACCTACCGATTCTCCTGGGTTTCCTTTGTCTCCACGCTCTCCGGGCTCACCCTTCTCTCCCTGCACACAGCAACAAACCCTGTCACCACCAGCTGCACCCTGGAGTCCTGCTCCATCAGGAGCTATGTGTGAACCACCTGTATGCTGAGAAGCTGCAGTTCCCCAAGAACAAAACAAACAGCTCACCTGTGGCTCTCTCTGCTTCCAGAGGAGACACCCCACAAAGAGGGATGCCTCCAGAAGTGGTACCTCACAGCTGTGCAAGAGGAGTGCCACAGAACTTTGCTTGCCTTTCCCTAGCAGTGGCCCAATGTCTCTCTGCTGCACTACAGCCTCTAAGGGAGGGAGCACGGCAAGCGGGTCGGCAGAGGTGTTATGCTGCCAGAAAACCAGGCATCTGGACTGCCTGAGCCACGCAGGCTCTGAGGGCAGCTGCCAGAGCCAGCACCTTCAGATGGCAACAGGAGCAGATGCCCAGCTGGCCCTTTGTCTGCTGTTGGAGACCTGCCCTGATGGACATTCGGTGACACCTAAGCACCTAACTCTAAGGGTATGAGGCTCCCAAGATACTTGGCACCTTGGGAAAAGAACCCTTGTGTGTTGCTCTATTTTGTTTACTCTTTGCCAAGCAGAAAAGGGCAGCCTGTCTTTTTCATTCTTACTGTCAGTCCTGGAAGTCCAATGGGACCTGGCAATCCTGATGGTCCTGGCATCCCTTGGTCACCTCGTTCACCTTTCTCTCCAGTGAGGCCATCAAGACCCTATCAAGAAAGATGTGTGCATTTTTTTGCAAGACTAATTCAGGCAGACATAAGAAGCATCATTGCAAGAGCTAAGACTGACTCTGGTTATCCCAAGAACACATTGGAAACTCCAGACCACTGTTAGATGTCCAGGGAAATGCAGGGCTTCACTCGTATGGAAACTGGTCATCCTCCTGCCACTGTGGATGTGCCAGTCCACAGAGTGGAAATGGGAGACTGCTTTCCTGCCTCCAAGTTCTGCTCACAGTTTCGCAGTGAGTCTGTGCTAGAAATCACTCCCCAGTAGCTAGCTGTTGTGACACCAAGAGTTTTATCCTAGTAATTCTGTAGAGAGGCAGAAGCTTGTTGCATAAAACCCTCTTGCCTAGTGCTGGGGACACAGAAGTTGTGACAGACTGAACCTGGGAGTCTGGGCACCCTGCCTCAGTTAGTGGCAGGGATATAAAGGGTTGCCCCATGCAGTTGCCCTCCTAGGAGGGTGTGCATGCTGGTACCACAGCTGCCTTGGTAAGTCACGCCTGCTTGCTTACAAGAGCCTTTCAGATTAAGCAGCATGCCAGGTAGCAAGCTGAGGAAGTGACACAGTGCCCAGAGGGCAGGGCAGGCAGCTAGGGACAGCCACTCCAGCAAGATGGACAACCCATCTGCCAGGGAGCCAACACTTCCCTTCTGCATTGGTACACTTCATACAGCAGTGATGAGGCGCCTCCAGCATCCGCCTCAGAGGGATTCTGAGGTATCCAAGAAGTCCCAAGGCCTTGCTCGATAACTTGGATAGCCAGCAGTGCTCTGAGAGGTTTCAATTTACTCACCGGTGAGCCAGCTTGTCCTGGCTCTCCTTTATCACCCTTTTCTCCTGTGATCCCGATATGGCCTGGCTCTCCCTTTATTCCAGGTGGTCCATCCTTTCCCGGCAGTCCGTGAGGGCCAGGGGGGCCCATTTCTCCAGGCTTGCCACGAGGTCCCTAACAGAAATCCACACAACACAGAGTGAAATATTTACAGGTAAGAGTAAAGTTACTCCTGCAGAGCAACCCCCTGGCCCAGAGCCGCCTCTTTCATTGTTCATCTTCTCACACACAGTAATGCCATTTGAGGAGTCATGGGCAGGAAAAAGTAGATTTGCCATGCTATCCCAATGACTCCTTATAAGTTAGGACTTTGCTAAACCATTACGGCTCATTTTTGAGAAGTAAAATACTTTTCCCCCCCCATGGTAAAAGCAAATGTGCAATATCAGTGACAGAAATGGAACACAGTAACTCTAGATAAGATCACCGAAGGAAAGAGCAATCCTTAGAGGTATTGCATCTTACCTTTTCTCCATCATGACCTGGAGGACCTGGCAAGCCAATTTCACCCTGAAACACAAGATTTTTACTTTGGCAGCTTGAAAGCAGCCATTCTGACTCCTTCTGCAAAGCACTGTGATGAAGAGAGAGCATTGGCATTACAGAAATAGTCTGCAGAGACTCTGGTAACTAACAGTCACAGAAAAGTAAGTACAGAAACTCCTGTTGAACCAGTACATTGTGCGACATCCTAATAATTTCACCAGCATTGTTTATCCTGAGTTCACAGCCCCAGTGAGTAACAGAGTTCCCAACCAACACAATCCCTGCACAGAGATCAGTTCCCATAAGCTGCTTCCCAAAGGGGAGGGCAAGTAGAAAAGCTGCTTCACTTTCAGATAAAGCATTACCACTGTGGGAAGAGAGATTATCAGGATATCTGTATGAGAAGGAGTGGTAGAGGCCAGCAGAACAGTCTGATAGTGCTGGACAGGGAGAAGAGGAACATCTGGGGGGGCTGTGTGGGGGAATTCTGCCTGGACAGCTCCCGTGTTTCCCTTAGATCTGAAAGTGCTGAGCAAATACCTTCTGTCCTGGTGGCCCTGGAGGTCCGGCCACACCTGGAAGTCCTGGGGGCCCCTAGATAAAGAAAAACTCATTTTCAGATTATCCACAGGACTTCTATTTTCATGTTTTGAAACCAAACAGCTCTTCTGAATTAAAAGGGAAATCACAGGGGCATTTTTCCAGAGACTCCTAAAATTGTATTTGCTTGGGAAGTTGAGCAATCAAGTCCTGAATGACCAGCAGGCCAGTCCAACGTGAGCTGTAGATACGTATTTATTTTCATTTTCACAGAATCACAGAATCACAGAATCCCAGAACGTTAGGGATTGGAAGGGACCTCAAAAGCTCACCCAGTCCAATCCCCCTGCCGGAGCAGGAACACCCAGATGAGGTTACACAGGAAGGCGTCCAGGCGGGTTTTGAATGTCTGCAGAGAAGGAGACTCCACAACCTCTCTGGGCACCCTGGGCCCGTGCTCTGTTACCCTCACTGAGAAGAAGTTTCTTCTCAAATTTAAGTGGAACCTCTTGTGTTCCACTTCCATTTTCATGGAAGAAAATGAAAATGACCACAGCCCTCTTCTCCTGTAACCAAGATGAACTTAACAAGGTTTTTCATTCCTATCTAAAAAAGTGTATTTTTAGAATAGAGATCATAGGAAACACTGTGCTACTTCAATCCCAAGTACAGCTTAAGCAGAGCTAAATGGCACCAGTATTTTGAGCAAATTTCCTGATCACTCTTGGCAGTTACCACTTTAAGGAGACCTAGGGAGCAGTTTGGCCTAGCAAGTGATGCAGCTTACACCTGTGCTGCCCTCTCTTACTGCATTTTAAAAGTCCATCTTTTTTCCTAACCAGGTTTTGTGCCCTGAGGAGCAAAATACAGGGACACTCTCCCTTATTTTGGCTCTAAATAACGACTTTGCCTCTCTTTGTCTTCAAAGGGCTTGAAGTCACTGTTGTTTTCAATTATCCATTTTGTACAGGGCTGCCATGTCAAGTTATACTTATCAATGGTGAAAACATATCCTCCCCTTCCATCACAGAAAGTGTCCACCATGGACTGCCAGTATATGCTTTCATGCAAGGCACCCAAAGCCTCTTCTTTCTCTGCTTCAGTCAGGCCCCCTTGCTCTTCCCTGCCCCTTCCGAGCACTCCCCCTGTTCTGAGCAGCATACATTACCTCTTAAAGCAGAAAAATAAAGGGCCTGGTTAGAATTCAAGTGTCATGATCAGAAGGCAAGATGTGCTGCTCATTCAGCTGGCCCAACTTTAGCTCCCAACCTTCCCAACTTTAGCCCCCAACCTTCCCAACTTTAGCCCCCAACAGCAAAGGCCAAATGTTT